AGACACTTCTCCAAAGTGGACATGCAAAAGGCCAAGAGACATATGAAAAAATGCTCAAAGTCACTAATCATCAGAGAGATGAACATTAAAATGACAATGAGGTATCACCTCACACTTGTAAGCATGGCTATAATCAACACATGATAAGTGCTGGTGAGGATTGGAGAACACTCATGCACTGCTGGTAGGAATGCATACTGGTGCAGCCACTGTCGAAAACAGTATGGAATTTCCTCAAAAATTTAAAAAAGGGCCAGAACCGGTTTGGCTCAGTGGATAGAGCGTCGGCCTGCGGACTCAAGGGTCCCGGGTTCGATTCCGGTCAAGGGCATGTACCTTGGTTGCGGGCACATCCCCAGTGGGGGGCGTGCAGGAGGCAGCTGATCGATGTTTCTCTCTCATCGATGTTTCTGGCTCTCTATCCCTCTCCCTTCCTCTCTGTAGAAAATCAATAAAATATATTTCGGCATATTTTACAGATCTGGAACAAACACTATAAAAATTTATAGGGAACCACAAAAGACCTGGAATAGCCATAGCCATCTTGAGAAAGAACAAATTTGGAGGAATCACAATACCAGATAACAATTTATACTACAAAGCCACTATACTAAAAACAGCCTGGTACTGGCACAAGATCAGGCATATAGATCAATGGAACAGAACAGTGACACCAGCTATCGACCCACGCTGTTATGTTCAGTGAATATGTGACAAAGGAGGCAAGAGCATCCAATGTAGTCAAGATGGTCTCTTCAATAAATGGTGTTGGGAAAAGATGTAATACTATGAAGCTGTAAAAAAGAAAGAACTCTTACCATTTTCAGCAGCCTGGATGGACCTGGAAAGTACTATGCTAAGCAGAATAAGCCAGTCAGAGAAATATGTGTCACATGATCATACTCATATGTGGAATCTAATGAACAAAATAAACTGATGAATAAAATTGAACCAGAGACATAGAAGCATGGAACAGACTGACAAATTTCAGAGGGAAGTCAGGGGTGAAGGAGTGGGAGAGGAGTGATTAACCTGGGAACTTATATGCATATATGAATAGCCCATAGACACAGGCAATAGAGTGGTGAAGGCCTGGGAGGGGTGGGTATGGGTTGGAGGGGGATCAATGGAAAAAAAACACAAATAAAGAAGACATCTGTAATACTTTCAACAATAAAGATTTTTTTTAAAAATCTAAAAGTGCATATACCATTAAATCCAGCAACTCTACATTTCTTTGGTATATATCCAAAGATAATGAGAACACTAATTTGAAAAGTTATAAATGCAGCATTATTTACAATAACTAAGATATGGAAGCAGTCTTGGTGTCCATCAAATTATGAACGGATAAAGAAGATGTGATATACAATGGAACATTACACAGGAATAAAAAGAATTAAATCTTGCCATTTGAGGCAACTTGGATGGACCTAGAAGGTATTATGCTAACTGAAATAAGTCAGGCAAGACAAACAAATAAGGTATGGTTTCACTTATGTGGGAAATCTAAATCCAAACCAAAACAAAGGAACAAACAAAACAAAAACAGGCCTTTAGAAACCGACCAAAAGGATAGTTACCAGAAGGCAGTGGGTGGGGGATAGAAAAAAAGAGAAAGTGGATATAGTCAGTAATACTGTGATAATTTTGCACAGTGACAGATGATTATTAGAATTAGTGGGGTAATCACATTGTAAGGTATGTAAATGTCAAATCAACATATTGTACATTTGAAACTAATATAACCTATGTTATATTATATACCAATTGTACTTAAATTTTAGAAATATTTAAAATTTCAGATCCCAAAGCCTCATTCCTAGTAATTATTTATTTTAAGACTCCAGCTCTCAGAATGCAAGCCGAGCCTAAAAGGGTCTTGCATATACCGAGGCTCATTATCCTCATACTAGTAGCCCTGCTCATGAATCCGTGTGCCAGTAGCTCTCGGCAGGGCCTGGCCACTCCGCGCCCGCTGCCCAGAGGCTCTCGGCAGCCCAGAGGCCCATCCGTGGCCAGGGTGGAATGCTTGCTTTGTCGCCGTGGTGACGAAGCAAGCATTCTGCCAGGCCGCTCATGCTGCCCACTCTCAGTGGCCGCCCCCCCAGGACTGGGGGACTCTTGCGGGGCTGAGAGGACTGGGCGCCACCATCTTGTGGCTATGGGCACTGCCATCTTTGTGACAGAGTGGTGGTTAATTTGCATATTACCCTTTTATTAGATAGGACTGTTCCCTATTTGGGTCAGCAGCATGATGTCCAGGGGGTGAGAGTTAGGAGAAAGAGGACGTAAACTTTTCTGAAAGGCCCACAAAAGGGAAGTTCAGGGAGAACAACGTCTCTAAGAAGAGCTTTCATCTTTGTGATCTGAATCAAATCTCAAGAGCTTCATATTCAATTCCAAATCTGAGTGAGGAGCTCAAGCCAACAAGACTTCAATCTTCCTCCAAGTTTGAAGTGAGGATTAAGAGTTGGCAAGCAAAGAATGGGGCCCTAATTCCTTACGCTAGCACTAAGGCTTCCCAAAATTTATCCCATCATTTCTGTCTCAGCCTATCTTTTTTTAAAAATCTAAAAGTGCATATACCATTAAATCCAGCAACTCTACATTTCTTTGGTATATATCCAAAGATAATGAGAACACTAATTTGAAAAGTTATAAATGCAGCATTATTTACAATAACTAAGATATGGAAGCAGTCTTGGTGTCCATCAAATTATGAACGGATAAAGAAGATGTGATATACAATGGAACATTACACAGGAATAAAAAGAATTAAATCTTGCCATTTGAGGCAACTTGGATGGACCTAGAAGGTATTATGCTAACTGAAATAAGTCAGGCAAGACAAACAAATAAGGTATGGTTTCACTTATGTGGGAAATCTAAATCCAAACCAAAACAAAGGAACAAACAAAACAAAAACAGGCCTTTAGAAACCGACCAAAAGGATAGTTACCAGAAGGCAGTGGGTGGGGGATAGAAAAAAAGAGAAAGTGGATATAGTCAGTAATACTGTGATAATTTTGCACAGTGACAGATGATTATTAGAATTAGTGGGGTAATCACATTGTAAGGTATGTAAATGTCAAATCAACATATTGTACATTTGAAACTAATATAACCTATGTTATATTATATACCAATTGTACTTAAATTTTAGAAATATTTAAAATTTCAGATCCCAAAGCCTCATTCCTAGTAATTATTTATTTTAAGACTCCAGCTCTCAGAATGCAAGCCGAGCCTAAAAGGGTCTTGCATATACCGAGGCTCATTATCCTCATACTAGTAGCCCTGCTCATGAATCCGTGTGCCAGTAGCTCTCGGCAGGGCCTGGCCACTCCGCGCCCGCTGCCCAGAGGCTCTCGGCAGCCCAGAGGCCCATCCGTGGCCAGGGTGGAATGCTTGCTTTGTCGCCGTGGTGACGAAGCAAGCATTCTGCCAGGCCGCTCATGCTGCCCACTCTCAGTGGCCGCCCCCCCAGGACTGGGGGACTCTTGCGGGGCTGAGAGGACTGGGCGCCACCATCTTGTGGCTATGGGCACTGCCATCTTTGTGACAGAGTGGTGGTTAATTTGCATATTATCCTTTTATTAGATAGGACTGTTCCCTATTTGGGTCAGCAGCATGATGTCCAGGGGGTGAGAGTTAGGAGAAAGAGGACGTAAACTTTTCTGAAAGGCCCACAAAAGGGAAGTTCAGGGAGAACAACGTCTCTAAGAAGAGCTTTCATCTTTGTGATCTGAATCAAATCTCAAGAGCTTCATATTCAATTCCAAATCTGAGTGAGGAGCTCAAGCCAACAAGACTTCAATCTTCCTCCAAGTTTGAAGTGAGGATTAAGAGTTGGCAAGCAAAGAATGGGGCCCTAATTCCTTACGCTAGCACTAAGGCTTCCCAAAATTTATCCCATCATTTCTGTCTCAGCCTATCTCCTTGTCAACACCCTGGTCTTTTGGCAGGCTGATATTCACCCTGAGCCTTAAACATACCTGGGTGATGATATGTATTTATTGTACCATTGCCCTTTCACCACCACCCCCCTTCCCTGGGATTCATCATAGAGCAGTGGAGGTTGTTCCATCATTTCTTTTGCATGACAACATAGAGTTTACAAAATGTTTTCATATATTTTATGCAATGCCTAACAACTGTAAGGCATTGCATTAAAAGGTTTTATACATATCACCTCTAATCCTTATGAAAAGCCTTCATTTTATAGATGAGGAAGCTGAGAATCAGAGAGATTAGTGACTTGTGCTAAAAAGCAGTGGAGTCAGGACTAGAGCTGTTTTCACCTCATCCTCATCCTTCATACTACAGTACCTTAGACCTACTTAACCTGTGTCTTTGGAAGCCCAGAAGGACTGTGGGTTGGGATTTAGGTCTTCTTCAGGGCCAACCTTGCTGCTTTATAGAGATTGGTTGCCAGTTAATGTATAAGAAAGTGAAAATATGGCTCAGAGAGAGATGAGGTATATAAGAGGAGCCAAAAAAACAGGTTTCTGAAAGGCACTCACTGTGCTCTCAAGAGGAAATTATAACCCAAAAGGAGCAATAATCCAGCACCCAGCACCATAGCCTCAAGTCACAGAAGTTCTGGAAAGGAAATTCAAATGATAAGAGCCTTCCTGGTGATCTGGAGATAGAGGAAAATCAAACAAAGCTTGCCTGTAGCTTGTCAGTGGCATCTGCCTCTCCACAGCCACTTTCTTTCACATACCACTGGTAACTACTTGAATTTTGAATGAATCATATTATTTTTCTTGTCTCATGTGGTCAGAGATCAAGAACTTCATCTTTGTAAAGCATGTGGGTGTAATGGTAAAACTGGATGTCATTAACAAAATTTAAAAGCAGAAGGTGTGTTCTTGCCCTACTGTTCTCAGAAAAGCACTCCAACTTATTCCAAGCTTACCTGGGGTTTTATGCATCTAGACATCCACGAAAGAAAGCAAAACCCTTCAGTCCCAAAGCAGGAGGCACTCACTCACCTTTGACGTACACATACACACTGGTCTTGCTATTAGGATCCCTGATGTCAGCGACATCCTTGTAGCTACATGTGAAGTATCCAGTGTCACCAGCTTCTGTGTGGAAGATGGTGAGCTGGTTGCAAGTAACAAGGGGGTTATCAGAGCAGGGGTGTTCCAAGATGCGGGCCCGACTCCCTGCAGACCCCATGCCCCAGGTCCAGGTAATGGCAGCCAATCCCCTGAAAACACAATGCAAAAAAAAAAAAAAATGCTGAATCAGGTATGGTAGTGGCAGTGAAGAAGTAATGTTGCTTCAGCTCCCAACCTGAGTTCTGAAGGAAGAGTTATAAAATATTAGTTCCCATGGAAAAAAATGTTACAGAGGATTCGAACACCTAGCTATGGGCATGAGACGCTGAAACAGTGAGTTAAGGTTTTTTTTTTTTTTCCTTCTCCATGTCTCCCCCTATATCTTCTCATCTGCTCAATCTATACACCCAGCCCAGTTCTCTTCATCAATGCATTGACTTGGGAGTATTTAACATTAAACACCTAAAGGCAGAGGGAAAACTGAGTTAAGTGATTCCTGAGGTCCTTTCTTGATTTATTGTTTATACTTGGAAAATGAGAACACCACGACTCAGGGAAGTAAAGGGCTTTGCCCAGAATATTGTTGGCAGGACCCAAACTCAAAGTCATATGTACTAGGTCCTAGTCTAGGTTTTTATTTTTGAATTATACCGTCTTGCCTCATGGAATTTATAAGGCTTTTTCGGCAAATGAGTTGTTAAAAGATATGTGGCTGGATGACATCTCCCTGCACTTCGTGGGAGGGAACCAGGGACAAAATTAAGTTTAAATTTATTGTATATCTTCCATGTACAGACAAAACAACAGGACTCTATATCTTCGTCTCAATGACGATTATTTTCTCCTCCTCCCACTTCCTCATAAGAAGAATCTTTGTCACAATCATTGAAAAAAATGCAGGGAGGACAAAAGAACCTGCATATCAAGTCTCAGCATTTACCATTGTTTAGTTATGCCAGCCCTCAGCATAAGTGGAAGACAATGGAAACTGGGGGCAGGATGGAGTCAGATTTGACTCCAGTTCTCATGTCAAAGACAGATACCCTTACCCATATCATATATCATCTCCAGCATTCACACACTTGCTAGAACACTGTTTATCATGACCCATAAATTCACTGAAGTGAAGAGAAGGTAAACCATGAAGTTGTGTGGGGAGCCATTGCTCACCTTGAGTACATTCTTCAAAAGCAATGCATTTCAAACCATTTTGAAAAGATAATATGTTACCATAATTGTGGTTAAGACTACTAAAAAATAAAATGGGAGTTTATAGACAGCAAGACCAGGAATCAAATAGAGAACAACAGTACAGATCCTGCCCACATTCTAACTCCTCATGCTCTAACTCTTGCACCCTCCATTTGCTATCCACTACCTACCACTGGAGTCTCTGTTCCTATTTGAATGATGATCTCTTTATGGTATGTCCAGCTTCATTCGGGGGTCTTCAAATAAACTATGTGGCCTCAAAACCAGACAGCCTAAGAGAAGGTGTTTATAGATTGAATCGTGTCCCCCACAAATTCATATGTTGAAGTATTAACCCCCAGAACCTCAGAATGTGATTATATTTGGAAATAGATAATTAAGTTTAAAGGAGGCCATTTGAGTGGGCCCTAATCCAGCATGATTAGTGTCCTTATAAGAAGAGGAGATTAGTACACACAGGTACCAGGGATATGCACACACAGAGAAAATATCATGAGAAGCCACAGTGAGAAGGCAGCCATCTGTAAGCCAAAGAAACAGGCCTCAAGAGAAACAAAATCTGTTGATAGATTTATCTTGAAATTCTAACCTCTAGAACTGTGAAAAAAATAAATGTATGATGTTCAAGTCACCTAATATTGGTTATTTTGTTGTGGCAGCCCTAGCAAACTAATAGACTCTCTGAACTGTTACCAGCTGCTATCTGAAATTCTGTTGTTTTTGTTGGGCGTTGGATCCCATGAAAAATTGTTCCTAGAGTTTTCATTTCCTGACACTTATCTGCCTTGCTTGACTGGAGTCTGATACCTTCCCCTTAGACCCAACATTACTGATCTGATTTTTCACCCTACGTATGTAGTACCTCTAATGGTCCCAGTCCACCCTGACCTAGCTTGTAAAGTCTTCAGGATTATTCTACATGGTTTGCTCTGACACCAGACAAAAGCATGTACACAAGCAGACAGTATCTTGGGTATAGCAGTAGCCAAAATGTTTTTTTTTTAAATTAAAGCATAGTTCACATAGAACATTATATTACATAGTGATTCACATTTATATTCCTTATAATGTGATCACAATAAGTCTAGTAACCATCTGTCACCATACAAAGTTATTACAATAATATTGACTATTTTCCTTATGCTATATATTACATCCCTGTTAATTATTTTTATAACTGGAGATTTGTACCTCTTATCCTCTTTCACTTTTTTCACCCATCCTGCTAACTCCTCTAGCACCATAAATATTTTCTCTGCATTTATGGGTCTGTTTCTGTTTTGTTTTATTTGTTTGTTTGGTCATCTTAGATTCTACAAATAAGTGAAAACATATGGTATTTTTTCTTTCTCTGACTTATTTCACTTAACATAATACCCTCTAGTTTTACCCGTGTTGTTGTAAATGTCAAGATTTCATTTTTAACAATAATAAATACCCAGAAGTGGGATTGTTACATCATATAGTAGTTTTATTTAAAAATTTTTAAGGAATCTTCCTACTATTTTCCATAGTGGTTGCACCAATTTTCAGTTCCACCAAAAGTGCACAAGGGTTCCTTTTTCTCCACATCCTCACCAATATTTGTTATTTGTTGACTTTTTAAATAATAGCCATTATGAAAGGTGTGAGATGATCTCATTGTGGTTATGATTTGCATTTCTCTGATAGGGATGTTGAATATCTTTTCATATGTCTGTTGGTTATCTGTGTGTCTTCTTTGAAGAAATGCTTGCTCAGATCCTCTCCCAATTTTTTTTTCAGATTGTTTGTTTTTCTGATGTTGAGTTGTATGAGTTCTTTATATATTTTGGATATTAGCCCCCTATCAGTCATATAATTTGCAAACATCTTTTCCCATTCAGTAGGTTTTTTGTTTTGTTTTATGGTGGTTTTCTTCATTAAGCAAAAGCGTTTTAATTTCATGTAGATCCATTTGTTTAGTTTTGCTTGCCTGAAGAGACATCCAAAAATATTTCTAAGATTAATGTAAAAGACTTTACTGCTTATGGTTTCAGGTCAACATTTAAATCTTTTTTAAATTTATTTTTTGTATACGTTTTAAGAAAGGAGTCCTGCTTTATATTTTGTATGTATCAGTTCAGTATTGCCAATACCATTTCTTGAAGAGACTATCTTTCACCCTTTGTATTTCCTGCCTTTTTTGTTATAGATTAATTGCACATATAAATGTGGGATAATTTCTGAGCTATCTTTTCTGTTCTATTGATCTATGTGTCTGTTTTAGTGCCAGTACCATACTGTTTTGATTACTATAGTTTTGTAGTATAGTTTGAAATCAAGTATGTGATACCTCCAGCTTTATTCTTTTCCATCTAGATTGCTGTGGCTGTTCAGAGTTTTTTTGTTTTCTTTTTTGTGTGTGTGTGTGTTTTTTTTTTTGTGTGTGTGTGTGTGTGGTTCCTATAAATAAACCAAAAGTATAAATTAAATAAAAATATAAGTAAAGGGTGTCCCAAAATTCACGGAAGATTTGAATTTTACGTCATTTGTGCCGTAAAGTGTTGCCAAAGAAAAAAAAAGATAGCGTGACAGCTGACAGTTCAGGGTTATTAAAAATGGAGCGCTACACAAAAGAACAACGCGTTTTCATGGTTGAGCAATATTTTAAAAATAATGAAGGTTTGGCAGCTACAGTTCACAATTTTCGTGCAAAATATGGTCGGAATAGTGATTTAACTTCATCAACTGTGAAGAGATTAATTAAAAAATTTAGGGAGATTGGATCAATTAGTGATCTTAAACACTCTGGCCGTCCTTCAACAAGTCGTTCAACACAAAACATTGAAGCAGTTCGTGAGAGTGTTGCTGAGAGTCCAGGGACATCAATTCGGCACCATGATCAAGAATTGGACATTTTGAGAAGCTCTCGGAGGCCATTTACCCAATATGCTATTCCATACATAACCTTATACTGTATACTTTATGAATCAATAAAACATTTACAATTTTTAATTATAAACCTGTGTTTTCTATCAAAATTACTTCTTGCATGAGTTTTGGGACACGCTTTATTATTTTTCTAGTTCTGTAAAAAATACCATTAATATTTTCATAGGGATTGCATTACATCTGTAGAATACTTTGAAATGAACATTTAAAAAATACTAATCCTTATATTCCATAAGAATGCCAAATCTTTCCATTTATTTGTGTTATCTTCAACTTCTTTCATCAATGTGTTATACTTTTAAAAGTATAGGCATTTTGCTTTCTTGGTTAAATGAATTCCTAGGTATTTTTTATGTAATTGTAAATGCGACTGTTTGCTTAATTTCTCTTTCTGATAATTCATTCTTAGTGTATAGATATGCTACTGATTTCTGCATATTAATTTTGCATCCTGCAACTTCACTGAATTTATCTGCAAGTTTTTATAGATTTTTGATCAAGTCCTTACGGTTTTCTTATATAGTGACAGATTTACCTCTTCCTTTCCAATTTGGATGCATATATTCCCTAATCTTGTCTTATTTCTGCTGCTAGGATTTCCAATCCTATGCTATATAATAAAAGTCTAATATGCCAAGTGTCCGGTTGTCCGTTCAACCAACCAAAGCATAATATGCTAATGATATACTAAGGCCTCTCAACCACTCATTATGACATGCACTGACCACCAGGGGGCAGACAGTAGACCAGTCTACCAGTTGCTATGAGGGGCACTGACCACCAGGGGGTAGACGCTCCAACTGGTAGGTTAGCCTGCTGCTGGTGTCTGGTCTATTGGGACTGAGTGAGATGGGCTGGACACACCCTGGAGCCCTCCCACTGTCCCTCCCCAGCTGGCCAACCTCTCGCATCCCTCCCCGATCCCTATCCCCCTCCGGTGGGGTCCCTCAGCCTGGCCTGCATCCTCTCGCAATCTGGGACCCCTCGGGAGATGTTGGAGAGCTGGTTTCGGCCCAATCCCGCT